TGCAGTCTCTGCCTCCCAAGTTCAAAAGATCCTCCCGCCTCAGCCTCACATGTAGCTGGGACTACAGAGTTGTGCCACCACGCCCTGCTAATTTTTGTATATTTAGTAGAGATGGGGTTTCATCATGTTGGCCAGGCTGGTCTTGAACTCTTGACCTCAGGTGATCTGCCTGCTTCAGCCTCCCAAAAGTTCTGGGATTATAGGCATGAGCAACTGTGCCCAGCCACTTGACCATTTTTATTTTTTATTTATTATTTTTAAATTTTTATTTATTTATTTTTTTGAGATAGTCTCACTCTGTTGCTTGTGCTGGAATCTAGTGGCACGATCTCAGCTCACTACAACCTCTGCCTCCGGAGTTCCAACACATTTCATACCTTAGCCTCCTGAGTAGCTGGAATTACAGGCATGCACCACCATGCCCGGCTAATTTTTGTATTTTTAGTGGAGACAGCATTTCACCATGTTGGCCAGGCTGGTCTCGAACTCTTGACCTCAGGTGATCCATCTGCCTCGGCCTTCCAAAGTGCTGGGATTACAGGTGTGAGTCACCACGCTTGGCCCATTTTTAAATTGTGTTATTTGTCATATACTATTGAGTTATAAGAGATTTTTATGTATTCCAGATATGAGACTCTTATGAGATACATGATTTGCAAATATTTCCTCCCAATCTGTGGATTGTCTTCTCACTAGTGTCCTTCACAGCACAAATATTTTTAATTTTGATGAAGTCCAAGTAATCTACTTTTTTATTTCGTTGCTTATCACTTTGATATCTTATCTAAGAAACCATTGCCTAATCGAGAGTCAGAAAGATTTATGCCTATGTTTTCTTTCAGATGTTTTATAGTTTAGTTCTTATATCTAGGTCTTTGATTCACTTTGAGTTAATTTTTATATATAATGGGAGATCACATGCTGTTTTTGAAAACGAGTTAGTGTGATAAACAGTCAGGAGTTTAAAAATATGCAACTATCTTTGGTTTTACTGACAATCATGTGATATTTTGTTAAGCATACCATTTAATAGAAAGAAAACAAATTTTAACCTCTAATGAGGCTGATATTCTCAATATTTACTTTAAAAATGTAATAAGCTTAGAGTTATTAGAAAAGGCCTTTGACATTTTTGTTTTTGTAAATCAACTGCTTTCAATAAAAACTTGAATAAATGAAGCCATATTTTTATGTTATATAAATAATATTTTTGAAATACATTAAAAACATCTTTATTATATAACATGTAATAATTACATGACTTTTTGTTTAATGCAGTGGTTCTCAATCAGGGGCAACTTTGCCCCTCAAATGAAATTTGGTGGCTGGGCACGAAGGCTCATGCCTGTAATTCCAGTACTTTGGGAGGCTGAGGCCGGTGGATCACCTGAGGTCAGGAGTTCAAGACCAGTCTGATCAATATGGTGAAACCCTGCCTCTACTAAAAATACAAAAATTAGCCAGGTGTGGTGGCAGGTATATGTAGTCCTAGCTAGTCGGGAGGCTGAGGCAGGAGAATTGCTTGAACTGGGGTGGCAGAGGTTGCAGTGAGCCAAGATCATGCCACTGCACTCCAGCCTGGGCAACAAAGTGAGACTCCATCTAAAAAAAGAAAAAAAAAAAAAGAAAAGAAAAGAAAGAAGAGAGAAAGAGAAAATAAAAGAAATGTGGCAATGTTTGGTGACACTTTTGGTTGTCACAACTGGGGGAACAGTGCTACTAGAATGTAGGAGATAGAGAGCAGAGAGGCTGCTAAACAATCTCCAGTGGGTAGAGCAGCCTCCACGACAAGGAAGTATCCAGCCCAGAATGTCAGTTGTGCTGAGGTTGAGAAACTGTACTTTAACTAAATCCGTGGCCTCTACCAGATAGATTCGAAAAGAGATGAGAGTTTGCAAACCCTTCTCCCCTCAGTTACAACCCCTGAATTTCTTCTATCGCAATACTTAGCCTTTCTGGGGCCAGAACATGCCCCAGCATCTTCCTGCCATTAAAACCCTTTATGGTAATGAAAATCTGTAGGCCTTCCCTATGGGGATGCTTAAGAAGCATGAGCACTTGCTTTCAGTGCTTAATTCATTTTATAATTGTGTATTTTAGTTTTTTGCATTTATCCTTGTATAATGCATTCCCTGCTAAACATATATATTTGGGTAACCAATCTCCTGTCAACATATATTTTACCTGATTATGTAACAATAGAAGTGATCATAAGTAACCATTTCTGACCGTTCACTGTGTTAGGCGCTGTGCTAAGCACACTTTCTGCATTATCTAGTTTAATTTTCTCAACCACTCTATGAGAGAGCAACTCTCATTATTTGCATTTTACAGCCATGGAAACTGAGGCACGATGAGATTGAGGGGACTTGCCCAAGATTGTGTAGTTGGATCATTATTACTCCAAGTCAAGGCTTAAGCCTGATGAAGGGTCAAATGTGAAGTGCAGGCATGTCACAAAGACTTTGGATTATTCATTACGGGCAGTCACACGTTGATGTTTGCAGGGCAGTGAGGTATTGTCTCATTCTCTTGCATCACAGCAAGCTCCCTGCTGTGGAAGAGAAAGCATGGGCACACACAGCTAGCTACAGGAAGTCCCATCAAACTTGGGACATGCCCACAGAAGCATGGCTCACCTGGGAGCATCACCTGTCCTGCCTATCATGTGGATAATACTTGAGAACTGCTGCTTAAGGAAAACTGGGATGTGTGAAGCATCACTTATGTTCCTGATACCCCCCCACCCCAAAGTCAGTCAGGCCTTCACTTTCTACCTACTATCCTCTCATAAAAAGCTCCAACTCCCAGTGTCTCTTTTGATCTGTGGCCTAAATCTGTCTGCAAGTACACCAGCACCACCTGCCAAGCCCATTATCTGTCTGTCCGGGCTCTGTGCTGTCTGGGCCCTGCTCACTTACAGCCCTCCCAGAGGCAGGATCATACCCCGGTCTCCTGATCTTACAGCCACGACTCTTACTGAAACAGCACTGTGGTGTTAAGCATACTACACCTTTTAAAAAACGATGCATTAGTTAGGCTGGGCGTGGTGGTTCATGCCTGTAATCCCAGCACTTAGGAAAGCCGAGACGGGTGGATCATGAGGTCAGGAGTTCAAGACCAGCCTAGCCAATATGGTGAAGCCCCGTCTTTACTAAAAGTACAAAAATTAGCCAGGTGTGGTGGCGTGTGTCTGTAGTCCCCGCTACTCGGGAGGCTGAGGCAGAAGAATTGCTTGAACCTGGGAGATGGAGGTTGCATTGAGCTGAGATCATGCCACTGCACTCCAGCCTGGGTGACAGAGGGACAGAGGGAGACTCCGTCTCAAAAAAAAAAAAAAGGATTCCTTAAACAGTAGTATTCCCTCCCAAGCTGTATCCCTCTATGTGCCAGGCACACAGTGATCTTCATGCCTGATAACATTCCCCTCACAGAGGCGGCTTTCAGAAAAGAATTTGGAGTTTGTGAGAGTGACTGCATTTTGATGGTACAAAGATTGGAAGTGGGGCTGGGAATGGTAATCCCAGCTCTTTGGGAGGCCGAGGTGGGCAGATCACTTGAGGTCGGGAGTTCAAGATCAGCCTGGCCACTGTGGTGACACCCCGTCTCTACTAAAAATACAAAGAATTAGCCGGGCGTGGTGTCGGGCCCCCGTAATCCCAGCTACTCAGGAGGCTGAGGCAGGAGAATCGCTTGAACCCGGGAGGCAGAGGTTGCAGTGAGTCGCGCCACGGCACTCCAGCCTGGGTGCAACAGAGCAGAGTCCATCTCAAAAAAAAAAAAAAAAAAAAAAGAAAAAGAGGTTGGAGGTGGAATGACTTCAATTTAGTCAGTTTTGAAGGTGCATATCTTTTCAGGTGATGTTCTCCCCATACAGCCGCCCATGTATTCCCACTAGCTCTGCAAATGCAGGGAACAGGAGCGCTAGCGATTAGAAATGAAGATTATCACTGCTCCGTAGATCTGAAGAAGAACCTGGTTTTTTTGTTCTAGATCTGTCCTGAAACTCCTTGAGCCAAATCTTTTCGCTCTGTCCTGAAACTCCTTGGGCAAATCTTTCCTTGCTCCGGGCCTCAGTCTCCCCTAATGGGAGAGCATATGTACTAGATGGTCTCCAAGCATCCTTGCAGCTGTAAACTTCTTTGACTCCCTAAGGTACCAGGGGCTGAGTTAAAGTGAAGCCCATGAGGGTAACTCCAATCCCCCCAATAGGAATCTGCTTTAGCAGTAAGCCCACACCTAGAAGCCTGCTTATGTTTGAAGAAGAGAAGGGAACAATTGGTTGATGTTATGTTTCTTGAGATACCCATCTCCAAGGGCGACGTTCAAAATATTTAACCACCAGTGTGTCGTGAGCACAGACCCGTCAGGAGGTTAGAAGGCAGCGGGTAGAGCCAGCAGGGGCTGTGGCCAGAAAGCATGCCCTGTCTGCCTCTTAGCTCTGCAGGGCACTACTCACCTCACTGCTTTCCTGGGCCTTTCTCCAGCTTTTTTTTTGGTCTGCCTCTTCCTGCCTGATTCTCCATCCAGGGCCCCAGCTCAACCCCCGTTTGGTTTCGTCTCTCTCCAACCACTTGATACTCAACTCAACTCCTGTAAATATCTTTATGCGTCCAAACAACAACTCAATCATATTCATCACTCAACAGATGCTCTTTCAGTGCCCTCTGTGCTCAGGCTGGAGTCGGCTGCCTTGCTTGACCCCTCACCTCCTCTCCTTCAAAAATATTAGAGGCAGGGACGCGCTGGAGGATTGAGAGACCTGAGTTCTAGCCTCTCTCTGCCCCTCGTCTGCCTTTGACCTTGGGCAAGTCCCTCCCCATCCTGGGGTTTCAGATTCCTTACATGTAAAATGAGGGACACCATGGAGTCCATGAGCTCTGAGGTCCCTGCTGTTCGATGATGAGTTTCTGGAGAAGTGCAAGTCTTCAGCAGCTGACCACTCTCTCTTTCTCTCTCTCTCTTTCTCTCTCTCCTGCCCCCCACAACCTCCACTGTAGAATGCACTGCTACCTGCAGGCCTGAGGCAGAAGGATCAGACCACCAAGGCGCCCACGGGCCCCTTTAAAAGAGAGGAGCTCTTGGATCACTTGGAAAAGCAAGCAAAGGAGTTTAAGGACCGAGAAGATCTGGTCCCCTACACAGGGGAGAAACGAGGTACTGAACAATGTTGCTGTTATAATATGCCACTCCCCATGCACCACTGAGTGCCGACTGTATGCCAGGCCCTGCCAGGCCCTGTATGGGGCCAAATGTGACTGGGCCTCCTTGTCCTCATCCCTGCCTGGCCAAAACACCCAAACCCAACTTCAAAAGCATCTAGGGATGATGTAGATTTCATGAAGTTTTGGGGGTAGACTGAGGAAAGACTCCTATCCACTCAAATCAGCAAAACTTTTCCCTAAACCCTCTTTCACTAGGATGTCCTGATTTTTTTTTTTTTTTAATGGAAACCTAGACAGTTTTGAGAGTAAAAGAAGAAACTGTTAATAATGACATCAGGACTTTGGGAGACTCAGGCAGGTAGACCACCTGAGGTCAGGAGTTTGAGACCAGCCTGGCCAACATGGTAAAAACCTTGTCTCTACTAAAAATTCAAAAATTAGCCAAACATGGTGGCACAAGCCTGTAGTCCCAGCTACTCAGGAGGCTGAGGAAGGAGAATCGCTTGAACCACGGAGGCGGAGGTTGCAGTGAGCCAAAATTGCACCATTGCACTCCAGCCTGGGCGACAAAGCAAGACTCCATCTCAAAAACAAAAACAAAAACAAAAAAAGCATGAGGCCTAAGTAGGGACCATCCTATGCAAACCGGGGACTAGAGATGCACTAACCATCTCCACCCGGATTCTTTCTGCTCTTTCTCCAAAGTTCCGCTCTCTGGCAGCTGCAGCTTCCCTTCCTTCGTCTGTCCCTTTATACTCTCTGCTCCAGCCTGAGGCAAGCCATCTTGAAGGCCCCAGGCAAACAGAGAGGGCCTCCCTAATCAACCATTCTTCTAGGACTTCCCATTGCTCCCCAAACCCTCTGCCCCCTCCTATACCCCCCTCATCCCATTGTCCCATAGGCCTCCTTCTGCTCTTCTCAAACTTTCCACCTCAGGACCTTTGCACATACTCCCTACGCCTGGAGTGCTGGTCCTGCTGCCCAGCTCCATGCTGTCTTCTTCATGGCTGGCTCCTCCTGCCTGGTAAGATATAATGGTCAGAAGCAGCCTGGAGCTAGATCTATTTCAGTTGCAATCCTGGCACTACCACTTACTAGCTGTGTGAACATATGTAAATGTTTTAACCTACTGTGCCTCCATTTCCTTCTCTGTAAAACAGGAATGATGAAAATACCAGCCTCAGGAGGTTGTAATGAAGGTTAAGTGAGTTCAGATCTCTGTCAAGCGCTTAGAACAGCATCTGGCAGGAAGTGAATGCTACTTATTAGTTGTTATTGACCTTTAGGTCTCAACTGTACAGTCTTCTCTTTCAGGAAACCATCCCTTTCAGGAAACCATCCCTGTCTACTCTGTTCAGGACAGGCAGTCCCTCTCCAACTCCCCCGCTTGGTTATTTTCCAACATAGGAGCCTGTGTGTGTCCTTCAGAGCAACTCACATCTTATCAGCATCTCTTTATTTTTCATCTGTCTCTCTCACTAGCCTGTAAACTCCCTGAGGGCAACCACTTGAGCTGTTTTTGCTCAAGTGGTACTCCCAGCATGCAGCCAGCGCGAGGCCTGCCATATAGTAGGGTTGAGTAGAGAGTTGTTGGATGAATAGATGAGCTAAAATTAAATAAATGTTTAATAGATTTGTGCACTACTTCCTTAGAATACCAGCTACACAAGTGCAAAGACCATATCTGTCTTGTTAATCACCAGCACCAAATAAATCTGTAGCACATAGAAGGCACCTAATAAATATTTGTTGAATGAAAGCACTAATTCTAATTAATTAATCGTGTAATTAATTATTTCTTTTCAGTATCTTCCATTCCCTCCACCCCTAAGAATGCAAGCATTATGAGCTCCAGGTCCACATCTGTGGCTGGCACCCCTGTATCACTGTTGTATTCTCACAATGCCCGGCACTAAGTAGCTGCTTCATAAAATGAGGGGGTAGACATTGTGCAGAGGACTTCGAGCCATTCCAAACCCTGGACTTGGAGCTCAGTCTGGGTTTCACTGAAAACTGGAAGTCCAGGGAGGCCTAAGGGGCATCTAGATTATAGAACTTCTGAATTTTGGAAGGGGTGCATGGTCAGAGGGATCCTGGAGGGGATGGCAGGAGAGAAGGTGAGGACAAGGGCAGGAAGTGGGGATGGGCAGCAGACCTGGGTGGATATGTAGCAAGGTGAGTCATTGCTGTCGTCCACTTCCTCATGTACCCACACCCCTCCCAGGGGAGGACCTGGAGGATGGTGTGAGGGATGGGGAAGGGAGTCTGAGCGGTACACAAATCAATCCTGCCCTAGGCATTCCAGAGCTAGCAAGGCATATTGCTTAGCATCGTGGATCACAACCCTTTCCAGCTTTTCATTCTGCAACTCCTACAACCTGTCTTTGTCCTCATGGTCTATCTGGCTGCTGAAGCTCCAGCCATCACATTCACGTGCCACTAGTAGGATGAAGGGAAGAAGTCTAGGTACCTCTTACAGTGGCTCAGAGTTGCCATCCTCACTGGAGGAACCTGTTATGGGGTATAATAAACCACAGGTCTTAAATATTTATTGAATATTCATCTCAGCCATTGCTTTAGTCATTTTAATACTTGAGTTCCTTTTCAGGGATTTTATTTTCCTTTTATGTTTTCCTCTTTTCTGGATCCCTGGAATCTGATATTAATAGAAGCTATGATACATTTTTTCCCCAAATGATTCTGTTGTGTGTTTTGCTGATAGAGGTAATTGATATTTGCTGTAAATCATCTACAAAATAAAGCTAAGTAATTCAAAATCATTTCTTCACTGAAAATAAGCACTGATCCCATTTTAGGGAATATCTTTCTGGACATTTCTCTATGCGCTTCCCACTCCCTCTCAACCTTCACCACTACAACCCTGGTATTGAACCCACACCGACCTCCTAATCATCTCCGTACCTCCACCTGCACTCCCTTCAGCTTATCCTCCATCAACAGCTACTGTGAGCTGTGCAGGTTTTTATAAATTGAGGTAAAACTTATATAACATAAAATTATCCATTTAAAAATGAAAAATTCACAACATTGTGCAACCACCACCTCTATCAAGGTCCAAAACACTTTTGTTGCTCCAAAATAAAACCCTATACCTATTACAGTTAATTACTCTCCCACTCCCTCTGCCCCAGCCCCTAGTGACCACCAATCTGTTTCCATGGGTTTACTTATTTTGTATATTTCCTACAAATGAAATCATACAATATGTGACTTTGTGTGTCTGGCTTCTTTCACTGAGCACAATGTTTTCCAGACTCATCCATGTTGTAGCACGAATCAGTATTTTATTCCTTTTTATACCCGAATGATATTCCACAATTTGTTTATCCATTCATCTACTGATAGACATGTCAGTTATTTCCACCTTTTGGCTATTGTGATTAGTGCTGCTTTGAACATTCCTGTACAAGTATTTGTTTGAATACCTGTTTTTAGCTTTTTGGGAGTATATACCTAGGGGTGGAATTGATGAATGATATAGTAATTCTATGTTTAATTTTTTGAGTAACTGCTAAACTTCTTTTCCATAGCAACCATACCACTTTACACTCCAATCAGCAACGTATGAGGGCTCCAATTTTCCACATTGTTGCCAACTTGCATTTTCCATTTTTTAAAATTGTAGCCATCCTCATGGGTGTGAAGTGTATCTCATTGTAGTTTTGATTTGCATCTCCCTAACGAGCCATGATGTTGAGCATCTTTTCATGTGCTTGTTGGCCATATGTATATCCTCTTTGGAGAAATGTTTATTCAAATCTTTTACCCATTTTAAAACTGGGTTGTTTTTCCTTTTGTTGTTGAGTTGTAAAAGTTCTTTCTGTATTCTAGATATTAGACCTTATCACATATGTGATTTGTGAATATGTTTCCCCTTCTGTATATTGTCATTTCAATTTCTTGATAGTATCCTTAGATGTGCAAAACTTTTAAATTCTGATGAAGTCCAGTTGATCTATGTTTTCTTTTGTTGCTCGTGTTTTTGTTATCATATCTAGGACTCCACTGCCAGTTCTAAGGTCATGGAGACATAGCCTTATGTTTTTATGTTTTCGTCTAAGAATTTTATAGTTTTTTTTTTTAGATGGAGTCTTGTTCTGTGTCCCAGGCTGGAGTGCAGTGACACAATCTCGGCTCACTGCAACCACCACCTCCCGGGTTCAAGCGATGCTCCTACGTCAGCCTCCTGAGTAGCTGGGACTACAGGCACGCACCACCACGCCCAGCTGATTTTTCTATTTTTAGTAGATATGGGGTTTTGCCATGTTGGCTAGGTTGGTCTCGAACTCCTGACCTCAGGGGATCTGCCCATCTCAGCCTTCCAAAGTGCTGGGATTACAGGCACGAGCCATTGTGCCAGGCCTGAATTTTATAGTTTTTTGTTTTGTTTTGTTTTGTTTTTTGAGACGAAGTCTTGCTCTGCCGCCCAGGCTGGAGTGCAGTGGCAGGGTCTTGGCTCACTGCAAACTCCACCTCCCAGGTTCACACCATTCTCCTGCCTCAGCCTCCCGAGGACCTGGGACTAACAGGCGCCCGTCACCACGCCTGGCTAATTTTTTTGTATTTTTAGTAGAGACGGGGTTTCACTGTGTTAGCCAGGATGGTCTCTATCCCCTGACCTCGTGATCCGCCGGCGACGGCCTCCCAAAGTGCTGGGATTACAGGCGTCAGCCACCGCCCCCGGCCTATAGTTTTAACTTATATTTAAGTCATTCCATTTTGAGTTCAACTTTACATATGGTGTGAAATAGGGGTCCAACTTCATTCTCTTGCATGTGGATATTCAATTGTCTCAATACTATTTGTTGAAGCGATTATTCTTTCCCCAGTGAATAGACTTTGCACCCTAGTTGAAAATCAATTTGCTATAGACGTTTGGGTTTCTTTCTGGACTCTCAATTCTATTTCATTGTCTATCTATCTATCCTTACGCCAGCACTACACTGTTTAGCTTTTTAGTAAGTTTTGAAATCGATAAGTATGAGTGCTCTAATTTTGCTCTTTTTCAACATTGTTTTGGCATTTGTGGCCCGTAATTCCATATGAATTTAAGGATCACCTTTTTTTATTTCTGGGAAAGGACTATTGGAACTTTGATAAGGATTACATTGGATCTGTAGATTGCTTTGGGTAGCATTGCCATCTTAATAATATTAAGTGTTCCAATCCATGAACTTAAAGTATTTTTCCATTTACTTAGGTCTTTAATTTCCTTCAGTAATGTTTTATAATTTTCATTGCACAAGTCTTTCACCCCTTTGGCTGAATTTATTCCCAAGTTTTATTCTTTGGATGTATTACAAATGCAATTGTTTTCTTAATTTGCTTTTGAAATTTTTCATTGCTGATGTACAGAAATACCACTAATTTTTGTATGTTGATCTTATACCCTGCAATATTGCTGATTTTATTAGTTCTAATAGGGTTTTTTTGTGTGTGGAAATTCAGGGTTTTCTATACATAAGATTATGTCACCTACAAACAGAAACAATTTTACTTATTCCTTTCTAGTTTGGATTCCATTGACTTCTTTTTCCTGTCTATTTATTCTGACTGAAACTTCCAGTACAATGTTGAATAGCAGCAGTAAAAGTGGGCACCCTTGTCTTGTTCCTGATCTTACGGGCTCATTTCCTTACTTCTGTCAGGTCCCAGGTCACAGGCTGTCATCTCAGTGAGGCGTCCTCTGACTAGCCTTCCCAAAACAGCAGTGCCCACCCCACCCACATCCCACCCTGTCATCTTCTAGGCCCTTGTCCTGCTTTGTATTCCTCCATAATGCTTAATACCATTCCATATCTTTATAAGTTTATTATCTGTCTCCTTTCACTACATCAGAAGCTCTTGAGGATTTTACTCACTGCTGTCCCCTTGCCCCCAGGAAGGTGCCTGGCACATAAGAAGCACTCAGTAAATGTTGTTGAGTAAATAAATACACATATGCAATTTCACATAAATGGAATTAAATTGTTCGTGCTACTTTGTAAGTTTGCCTTTTTCAAACAACATTTATCCTAGGCATTCTCCTTCTTAGTAAGTAGCAATCGCCGTCATCCTTTATACTAACTGCTGGAAGTTCATTGTATGGATGCACCATAATTTCTTCGCCAATTCCTGTGGGTGGGCATGACAGTGACCATCCTCATACGTACTTCTTTACTTCCCTCATTCCGTTATGAATCTGACACTTTAAAAATACGATAATGAGGCAAGGATGCATTTTTTTCTCCCTTTTCATTATTTTATTTATTTGTTTAGAAATGTTTATATATTTTTCTCTCATTTCCCCAAGGTCTCAGAGCCTTTGGTTAGGGTATCCCAGACCCTGGCATTCTATTAAATTTTTCTGTGATTTTTTTTTCCTACTTACAGATTGTTTGGTCATGACCAATGCTTTTGATAGAGGGTAGTCGACTTGGACCAAGTTATAAAATCATTCTTGTCCAGTGTGAGGGGTGCTGTGTTGGAGATCTCTGATTCCTGTTCTTTGGGGAAGTTGGTCCCCAGAGGGAGAAACCTGAAGGGACTCTCAGCATGGAGGGACCCACAGGGCTCTGGTCCACGCAGATTCATCGCCAGAGGCTGCTCCATTGCAGCCACTCCCGTAACAGGTCCTCTGTGTATTTTCAGGAAAGGTCTGGGTTCCTAAGCAGAAGCCAATGGATCCTGTGCTGGAAAGTGTGACGCTGGAACCGGAGCTGGAGGAAGCCTTGGCAAATGCTTCGGATGCAGAACTCTGTGACATTGCAGGTAAGAGGCGTTCCAGGAGCTTTCCACATCCTCCAGAAGGATTTGAGCCACATCTGCAGGGAGCCTTGTAGGGCTCATTTCAGCATGAACACCTTCTCTGTTTCTAAGAACTAGAGGAGACCGAGAGTGTTAAAGAAAAAATCCATTCTCAAAAACCAAAACAAGGAAAACAGAGATAAAACCACACAAACCCACCACACCAGGGAGCCATCTGTTGTTGCCATGAGACCCCATGCCAGAGGGATGTGGATGTATCTCAGGGAGAGCCCACAGACGCCCTTTCCCAGCCATTTGCATTGAATCCTGCCCAAGCCACTTGGGAAGAGAGGATAGAGGGAAAACAGACAGAATGCCTCTGGTGTCGTTGGCTTGGGAGGCTCACTAAGGGCTCGATTTTTACAACTTTGCACTTTGCCTGCAGTCGGCTCAGCGAGCTGGGCTTTGAGGGGTCACCCTTGTATATCACATATTTGCCCCACACCCTCCATCTTCATATGTGTTTCCATACGATCTTCACAAACTACCCCCAAAACTCCAGAAGGTGGCCTTATATTCAGAGCCCTTTGCCCCCTTCCCCACCTCCCCCGACTTCTCTGCTGTTCCGGTCTACTCTCTGTCCCACTGCCGGTGGTGTTCCATCCCCAGGAGGGTCATTCTCTGGCCACATCCGGCACCCTGTATGCTCCCTCCCCACCTACTGTGCTCCCTGACACAGGGAGTGGGTGGGTTTTTATTCTGCAAGCTTGGAGGCTGCTAATCATAGCCCAGGTGATGGCAGGAGGGTGGGCGGGGTGAAGAAAGGCTTGAGGCAGGTGAGCAGGGGAGAGGGTAGAAGGGGATGCCTGTGACTGATTGGCTGTGAGAGCGAGGTAGAAGAGTCGAGCAGGGTAACTTCAGACACTAAGTGGTGTCGGTGCCATTAGCGACAGACGGCAAGGGAGTAGCAGGAAGAGCGGAGATACAGAGTTCAGTTTACAACTGTGGCACTTGAGGCACCTGTGGGCCACCCAAGTGGGGTCAGTTGTATCGGAAGGTCTGGAGTGCTACAGGGGGTTCCCATTCAGGACAGAGATTTGGGCATCACTAGTGTTGTCAAGCTCCAGGAAGAATTCATGGCCCTCATAGAAGCCTTTGGCAGTGGGGGGGTGGGGGTGGGGGGCCAAGTCATAGAAATGGGGCAAAGCTAGAATGTGGATCAGTTAGCCACAAATTAGCTGAGAACCAAAGGCCAAATCAAGATGGGCAGAATCGGATGCAGGAGCCACAGAGACAGAGTGAGGGTTCGGGGCTGACCAGGAGACTCAGAGGCATGTGAGACCAGAGGCCACGGCGGAGGTGGGAGGGCACCAGCACCAGGGACTCGGCCGGCCACAGCTGCCTTCTGCGACTTGTGAGTGGTGTTGTGCATGACCTTGGTGACATGTGTGCAGGGGTGGGGGAGCCACTGGGGGATGTGCAGGGGCAGTGAGAAGACTCAACTACACACAAGGGGCACTCTGGGTGGTGACAGGTGAAGCCAGGTCTGGGGGACATGAGGAGTGAATGCGGACAGCCAGTGTGCAGACCCCAAGTCCAGACAGCCCTTTCCTCAGGAGACAGGGAATTTGAAGGACAAAGGGCAATGGCTTGAAGGGTGTTGGGACAGAGAGAATGGTTTTCCTTTACACTATGAAGTACAGAAGCAGTGAGTGCTTCACCCAGATGGGAAGGTAGCACTTAACTCTGGAATCTAGTTTGCTAGGGTAGGGATTTATTCTGTCAGAGGCCACACGAGTCACAGTAGATCCTTCATTGAGCCCATATATTATGTATCACACTTCAACCAAACCATCTCCCCGAAGAGGGTCCCTTGAGTTCGGGTTAATCTCTGAGGCAGGGAGGTGGCTGATGCCTTGGTGCGGCATCTCCACTTGGACTGGGGCTGTTTTTACCCTGGACTTTCTCCTCTGATCACCCTCCATGACGTCACTCCCCTCATTAGGCGGCTCAAAGGGATTATCAAATGACTGCTGTCACAACTGCTGGCTCCTGCGGTTCCTGTGCCAAATCAGAGCTGCAACCGTGTGCTACGTTTCTGTATTGCTTTCTTGAAACTATTTCTCTTTATTTTTGTTAGCATGGCTATTTGTTGTTATCTGTAACGATACAATACCCTGCCAATGTCTGGGAAGGAGAGGGGAGCTGTAAGTCTACACCAGTGTTAACTGGCTAACCTTGGATGCCTGTCATTTGATGTTGGACATTTGAAAGGTGGCAGCATCTCTGGGGAAGGAGGGACTGAACATTTCTGACCGCGTACCATGTCCCAGGTTCTATGGGAGTTGCTCTCAAGACCTTGTTGCATTTATTGACCAAAACAATCCTATGAAGGGAATTTTATTACTGTCCCCATTTTACAGATGGAGAAAGTAGGCAAGGTGTGGTTAAATGCCTTGCCCAAAGGATTTAAACCCAGGCAACTTCATTCTAGGGACTATGTGCAGCAGCATCACCCAGTGTAACCTGAGCGAAGCCCTTCAGGGTAGGGGAGGACACAGAGCACAGAGGGCAGGCAACAGAGGGTGATGGGCAAGGCTGGAGAAGTTGGCTGGGGACCGGGGGGGTCACATTAGGAAAGGCTATGGATGCCACTCCAAGGAGATGCTACTTGGACTAGGGGCATGAGGGAAAGCTAGGTGGGAGCAGGAGTTTGAGTGGAGAGGAGGGTGGTTCTGCAGGATGGGCGAATGGAGGAGGCAGGGCCTGGATGAGGCCGAGGCCTGGGCAGAGCTGTGGGATTGCATCTGAGATGCAGCTGCACCAAGAGCCCAGCTGTTCTTAGTGCTGGCTCAGAGGCTGAGCAGCTGAGATGGTTCCAGGCTTTCTGGCCTGAGGCAACAGAAAACAGGCTGGGTGGCTGATGAGGAGTGCTCTGCCGAGAGCTGACTTCAGAAACTCCGCATGAGATGAAGGCTGGACTTCGAACATGGTGTTGGAGGTGCTGGGCAGAGCAGGCCCACCAGAGAGTGGTGGGTAGTTGGAGCCTTTTTCATGGGGCATCCAGGTCACCTGTAGTCGGTATGGCCTGTCTCCCAGGTGGAATGTTTCCATCAGCTCAGCTCTGGCTTGCTGACTCACACACGCAGTCAGCGGCATCCATTGTCTCTGGACTAGGCCCTGGCAAAAGAATGGTAAGAAAACAGCCTAATTTCCACCCTCACAGAGTCTATGTTAAACAAACACCAGGTAAGTATGAAATGACAAATGAGAATGAGCGTCTGAACAGAATCAGTACGGTGTGTGAGGCAGGCACTTGGGGTAGGGCTGGGGGAGACCAGGGAAGAGCTATGGAGAAGAGCTTAGGAGCAGAAGAGTAGCAGTGAGAAAGTGTGGAGAAGGTCCAGGGCTGGAGAGCGGCAGGAGCAGCGGTTCTGGGCTGGGGAGGGCAGGCCCCTCTGAACCATGTGCTCTGCAAGAGTGGTGTGGCAAGCTTGCTATCTGGTGATGGTAGGAGACTGGAGGGCACGCTCAGGTGTGCCCTCCTAACTCACGTTTGACACAGGTGAGGTGCATCACTCACGCATTCACCTAACTGCTCATTAAGCCAGTGCACATTATTGAACTCCTACTGTATACTACGATAAACCAGAGCCAGTCCTTACCTTTGGGAGGCCCAGGAGGTGATGAGGAGGACAGAGGAGAATCATGTATTTTTTTTTAACCTTAAAATCTTTTATCACTTAAACATGTAGATTTCAACATTAAAAGTGTCCCTGCTGGGTGGCAAGCAGAGTGCACAGGTTCCTGGCAGGGCTAAGTTCTTGGCACATAGCCTTGGGTTGTAGGTCAGAGGCTGCTGGGAGTCAGCAAGCACTTAAAATTCCCAGTTCCTCCTCTGCGCACTCAGGGAGGTGATGCTGGCTGGCCTTTAGGGACCCTTCAGATGGGGCAGGACCCAGGAAGGAAGTGGGGTAAGGAGACTCATCCTTTAGATAGGACAGCCTCGGGCCACTCACCCCCAAGGGCAGTTGGCAACCTGGGGGTCTTGCGGCTATCAGAGGCAGGCTTAGCCAGACCACCCCCTGGCTTCTGGCTACTTCCGTGTGCTTAGGCACCTTTCCTGCTGCCCTACCAGTGGCAGGTGTATCTTATCCAGAAGCAGTTCAACTGCATCCAAGTCCTGGACTGGAGCCAGTTTCTCCCACCTGTCCCTGGGATGCAGGAGAACATCTTCCAGCCATCTGCCCAGAGCCAGCCCAAGCAGCTGGCAGCTGGAGGAGCCGGGGATGTGTGCTGTTATCTCCCTGCGTCCTGAGTGGAATTACCAAATGAGTGAACTCTGCCAAGGCAGGGAGAGGAAACAGAACTCAATGTTCTTTTTCAGAGTTCAAAAATAGTCCTTTTTGAGTTTTGAGGAAGATCTAGACTTTAAAAAAAAAAAAAAAAAATCAAGTTCCCCAGTGCTAAATTCAGCCTTGCCAGTATCTACAAAGAATGAAGCAACAGGCAATGTTGATGTGCCGTTTTCTCCCGTCACTCATTCCTGGCGATGTGGAGTGTGGCACAAAACCAAGTGAGAGGGAAAGTCGCGATTTTGTGCCTAGGGCTGACAGAAGGTAATACTAGCCCCAGGCATTCTGCCCATCAATGGAAAACTAGCTGGGCCCTTCCCTTCCTTCTTTCCTTCCTTCCTCTTTCCCTCCTTTCTTCTTTTCATCCTTCCTTTTTGGAATTCTAATTTCCTCTGAGCTGCAAAATTGTTTTATTTCTTCTTAGCCCTGCTGTTAACATAAATAACCTCCTAGAATGAATATATGTTATCTGTCCTTAAGACGCCAAAGTCAAGGGGAAGTTTTAGAACCTTAGAACTGCTAGTGACCTAGTGAATGAGAATACAAACTTAAAAGCCACGAGAGTCCTTGCTGTATGGTTTTGGCGAAACATTTCCCTCTTGAGTTTGCTGGAAAAAGTTGGGGATGGGGGGTCTATGTCAGCTACCCTGGATGCTGTTTGTTTGTTTGTGTGTGTGTTTGTTTTTAGACAGTCTCACTTTGTTGCCTAGGCTAGAGTGCAGTGGCACGATCTCGGCTCACTGCAACCTCTGCCTCCCAGGTTCAAGCAATTCTCCTGCCTCAGCCTCCCAAGTAGCTGGGATTACAGGTGTGCGCCACCACGCCCTGCTAATTTTTGTATTTTTAGTAGAGACAGGGTTTTACCATGTTGGTCAGGCTGGTGTCGAACTCCTGGCCTCAAGAGATCCACCCACCTCGGCCTCCCAAAGTGCTGGGATTACAGGCATGAGCCACCATGCCCAGCCCCTGGATACTTACTGTAAAAGCCAAACAGGATAAAAACATAAGAAATTGTTGTGTCGCTAAGTCCTATGGGTAGGTAAGAGATCAGTTCAAACACTCCACTTTACAAGTGAGAAAACTGAGCCTCCCCGCCCCCAAAAAGGAAGTGACTACAGGGTTACCCAGAAAATTCATACCAAGGCTCAGACTGAAATACAGGTCTCCTTCCTCTTGGTCTCCTGGCAGTCTCTTATAACTTCGCCACCTCCATCCCTCTTTCTAGACCATCACAGGAAGCTGGCATCTGTGTGCCAAAGGCACTTTCTATTTTCCACCTCTCTCCACTTTAAGCCACACCAGCCAGCCATATGAGGCTACATCTTTTATATGATCCCCCAAAACCTGTACAAACTGTGTTTCCAAGCGTGAAACCCCGGCACATCCCAGAACCCCCTTGAGCTGCTCTGTGGGAGCTGGAGAGCCTGCCCCAGAATGGGCCTCCTTCATGGTGATCTGATTCACCTGCTGCTGACTCGGGCCTCAGCTCCTGTTGCCCACGTAGATGCAGCTTAAATTAAAACCTCGAGAGCTTGAAAAAATGCAGATGCCTCTCTGCCCACCAGTTCTCTTAGTGATGAACAAGCAAGTCTAATTTTAGCAGAGAAGAATCTTAGAATGTGAGAAACAGAAGGGACTTTGAGATCATCTCATCTTGTGGTTTTTGCCTCTCACTCAGCAAAAAAACCCCCTGAGAAGATTTGACAAAAAAAAAAAAAAAAAAAAAAATGGCCAGGCATGGTGGCTCATGCCTGTATTCCCAGCACTTTGGAAGTCCAAGGCAGGTGGATTACTTGAGGTCAGGAGCTCAAGACCAACCTGGGCAACATGGTGAAACCCCATCTCTACTAAAAATACAAAAATTAGCTGGACATGGTGGCATGTGTCTGTAATCCCAGCTACTTCGGAGGAGGAGGCAGGAGAATTGCTTGAGCCCAGGAGGTGGAGGTTGCAGTGAGCCGAGATAGCACCACTGCACTCCAGCTGTGCCACAGAGCAAGACTCTGTCCCAAAAAAAAAAAAAAAAAAAAAAAAAAAAAAAAAAAAAAAAAAAAATTCCGGAGGTTCTGATTGGTTGGTCCAGAATGGAGAGAGGCACTGATACGGTCTTAAAGCTCCCTGTGTGATCCATGTGTGCAGCCTTGACAGAGAGCCACTGGTCTTGTCTCAACCTCTCATTGGAAAGAGGAGGTTAAAGCCTAGAGAGGGGAGGGGAATTGCCCAAGGTCACACTGACGTCAGGGGCATGGTCAGGGCTGGAACTTGTGTCTCCTGACTCTTCATTAAGGGCTCCCATGTTGTCTCTCTACCAGGAAACCATATCTAATCAAATGACTTGGGTATTTTTTAAAAATCATCACCAAATATTTGCCAAATACCATATTCAGGGAGAGGTGGAAGAGGGAATATCCTTGTCTGACCTCCAGAAGCCTACAGTCTAGTAGCAGAAGTACAGGTGTATCTAGTTATGTCTAATACCAGATAGATTCTGATGCATACACCAGGTGCTGTGGGAGGACTAGAGAGGGAGAGGGGGAATCCAGGAAGACTCCCTGGAGGAGGAAGAGTTGCTCCCAGTCTTGAAGAATAGGGAGGTAGAGTTGTTAGATGAAATACAGGATGTTCAATTGAATTCAAATTTCAGAGAACAATGAATATGTCCCAATATTGAATGGGGCATACTTAGCTAAAAAAAAATTTGTTGTTGGCCAGGTGAGGTGGCTCACGCCTGCAATTCCAGCACTTTGGGAGGCCAAGGTGGGTGGATCAAGAAGTCAGGAGTTCAAGACCAACCTGGCCAAGATGGTGAAACCCCGTGTCTACTAAAAATACAAAAATTAGCTGGGCGCGGTGGCACACTCCTGTAATCCCAGCTACTCAGGAGGCTGAGGCAAAGAATTCCTTAAACCCAGGAGGTGGAGTTTTTAGTGAGCCGAGATCGCGCCACTGCACTCCAGCCTGGGTGACAGAGTGAGACTCCATCTCAAAAAAAAAAAAATTGTTGTTTATCTAAAATTCCAAGTCAAGTGGGTACAGAGAATCACCAGCAGAAGGGAGAGCACTAGCAAAAGCAGGAGCAGCTATGAGCAGGGACTGTTTGTGTAGCTGGAGCAGAGAAGCTGTTGAGAGGGGGAGTGCAACAACACTGTTGAGGTGGGACCGGCCCAGGGACAGTCTGTGAAGCCAGGCTCTGGGTTTGGACTTGGCTCTACAAGTCACCGTTCTCCCATCTGGACAGCTGCAACAGCCTCACGGCTCTGCAGCCACATCCATCTCTGCCCTCTGTAGTGAGTTCTCAACACAATAGTCAGAACTCAGGTCAGACCATCCCACTTCCTGCTCAAGCCTTCGATGGCTTCTCAGGCTGTTCCTAGGAAAAGACAGCCGAACTCCTTACTCAGCCTAGAAGACCCTGTAGAATCTGACCTTGCCTAGGTGAATAAAATCTACTCCAGAGGGTTATTGGGCAGATCAAGGAGGGGAGAGTCAGGCAATGGTTCTCAACCTTGGCTGCTCATTGGAACCATCCGGGGAGCCTTAAAAATGCAGGTGCCTGAGCTCCATCCCCAGATATTTCAGGTTAATTGGTCTGGGGTGGGACTGGGCATCAGGAATTTCAACAGATCCCCAAGTGATTTCAATGTGCAACCAAATTGGGAATGATGGATACAAAGTGTCTTCCCTGGCACCAAGCATGTGCTTAGAGCGGTGGCGTTGCCATGCTTGTGATTATTACTGCCGCATATCGAGCTTCCATCCTGTTTCCCCCAGCAGTGATTGTCACAGCTGTGTCATCACTGGTGTCCTGGCCTTGGCCTCTTCCTACTCTCCACCTCCCAATGTGCAGCACAGAACAGCTGGAAAAGTCTTTCTGGAGATGCCAACCTGACCTTCTTCCCTCACTGGCCTGCCACTCTCTGAACCTCGAGGCTTTCCCACCTGCATTCCTCTGCCCGGAATGGTCTATAGTCCTTCTCTTAACTTGACCAACACTTACTCCTCCTTCCCATCCCAAGTTCCTCTTTTATGCTGTCTTAGGACTGAACTTTTCCTCTGCCACACTCACCATACCCTGCGCTGGTTTTTCATTGTGTGGAAACTCGCTTGGCTCCTCTCTCCCCCAGCATACTTTCAGCTCCATGAGCGGAGACCCAGTCTTTCTTATTCTCCACTGTCCCCACCAGAGCCTGACACACAATGCTGGGGTGGGCCTCATTACATGTTGAAAAAATGAATGGATGAAAGAATGGCTGAGCATGGGAGCAATGAGGTCAGGTTGGCATTTCCAGAAAGACCTTTCCAACTGCTCTGTGCTGCATGCTGGGAGGTAGAGGATAGGAAAAGGCCAAGACCAGGACACCAGTGTTGACACAGCTGTGACAATACAGCCAAGGAATGATCAGGCCTCCACTAGGACGGAGATGATGGGATGGGAGGGAGACGGATCTCAAAGACACTGGGACAGTCAAATGGGCTTGTGAGGAGAAGGTGCCACATTCCCTGAGGTTTTACCCTGAGGGACAGGCAAGATGACAAGATGGAAAGAGAGCCTTCTACAGAAAGAGGCTGTCGCTGGAAAGAGCCATTCTGGTTTGGCCATGTTGAGCTGGATGTGCCAGCAGGACATCAGGGAATCAGAGGCCAGGGGCAGAGCAGCCTGGGCTGGGGCTGGGGATTTCAGAGTCACATCAATAGAGGGGAGAGTAAAAGTAAAATAAAATGTTGAAGTTTTTGTGCAAGTGTTTCTTGCCACCTCTGTGAGCCAGAGTTCCCGGGGTTTGCGTGTGGGTCCCTAGGAGGCTCTTCTGTCTGCAGAGGCACATCACGAGCCCTTCCCTTGTCCCTGCAGCGATCCTGGGCATGCACACGCTCATGAGCAACCAGCAGTACTACCAGGCCCTGAGCAGCAGCTCCATCATGAACAAGGAGGGGCTCAACAGTGAGTATGCGCCCGCCCCCAGGAGGGACCTCATGCTTCTTGCTTCCTTCACTCACTGATGTTCTCTGGCTCGTTGCAGAAGTTTTAACATGTTATGTAGCCAAATCTGTTCATCCTTTCCTTGGAGTCTCCCGGGATTTGTGTCTTGTTTACAAAGGCCTTCTCTATCCCAATATTATAGAAATGTTCTCCTATATTTTCCTCTAAAAGTTTTAGATATTTACTTTTTATATTCAACTTTTTCTTTTTTTAGACAGGGTCTTGCTCTGTCAGCCAGGCTGGAGTGCAGTGGCACAATCTTGGCTCACTGCAGCCTGGATCTCCTAGGCTTAAGCGATCTTCCCACCTCTGCCTCCTGAGTAGCTGAAGTTACAGGCGTATGCCAGCATGCCTGGCTAATTTTGTTTATTTTGTATGGAGATGAGGTCAATCATTGCCCAGGCTGGTCTCGAACTCCTGGACTCAAGCGATCCTCCTGCCTCAGCCTCCCAAAGTGCCGGGATTACAGGCATGAGCCACCACACCTGGCCTTATATTCAACTTCTTAATCTACCTGGAGTTCATGTTTGTGTGTGCTGTGGGAGAGATCAAACTTTCAGTTTTTTGAATTGATATCCAGTGGACTCAACACCATTCCTTGCAAGATTTATCCTTTCACCATTGGTTTGGGCCCCAGCCCTTATCATCCACATGGGTCTGTTTCTAAGCACCTCCTCTGTTTTATGAGCCCTTTTGTCCTTTCCTGTGCCAATATTGCATTGCCTTAATTACTCCACTGCATTGTTCCGAAGCTGGCATTTTGGCCCCAAACAGAAATGAGGCTGCCAAAATATAATTATTCCTCCCTCTGGAAGATTGATGCATTTCTTTCCCATCCGGGCTTCCTCTTAGCCTCCCAGGAGCCCACTGAGGTCATGAGCCCCGGTAAAATGACTAGCCCTGCTTTAAAGATGAAGACCCAAGGTTCAGAGAGTGTCAGTAATTCACCCAGTTCTTGCAGGACGTCAAAAGCAGAGTCCAAGTAGAACCCCAGCCTCCCGGCTCCCTTGCGGGGCTTCTTCTGAGTGGTGCCCCCTACCCCCACCCAGTCCTTGCGATGTGCAGCCTTCATGTGCCCTAAGTCTGCACATGCTCCTTTCCAGAGTATCTTTGTGTTGGCAGAAAGTGAGCCCCTTGTTTCTGTGAGCCACCTCCCTTTTATCGGTCACTCTAGGCGTGATTAAACCCACACAATACAAGCCTGTGCCTGACGAAGAACCAAATTCAACAGATGTAGAGGAAACGCTGGAAAGGATAAAGAACAACGACCCAAAACTTGAAGAAGTTAACCTCAATAATATCCGGGTAAGGTCCATTTATTTCACTTTACCTGCATGTGGGTGGGGGAGGGGGGACCATGTCACCCAAACGCAAGTGGTCCAGGGTTGGCTGTGCAGAGTAAACAGGGTCCTGTTTGGACTCTGGGTGGTTCTGCATCAGGAATAGGGACAAAACCTTTGCAAATGGGAGGCTTTAAGAGAGGTGGGCAGTGTAAACAAGTGCATCTGGCAGTCCTGGTTTCTTTCTGAGGATGATATCAGGCCCAGATGTTTAGCATGGGCCAACCCAGCTTCAATCTGGAAACCTGCCACGTTATTCAAAACACTGAGAGATTCTCCGAGATAAAATCATGAGTCAGACACACGCTGCTGCACGGGATCTCAAGGCTGGAAAAGTCCAGTGCCCACTAGGCTCGGGGGTAACACGGGCCCTGGGCAGGTCCTTCCCCTGAACCATTGCTGATGCTGTATCACATTCATATTCAGCCTCGTTTTACAGCCACAGAAGGGAGCTGTTGGCCAAAATGTCTAAAGCAATATCCCAAGCTGTCTGCCCTTTTCTCTGTGGACTTTTCCTTATGTGATCCCAGGGTAGGGGAGGGACAGGTAGGCAGGCAGTCCCACCCTGAACAGGCTGCCGCAGGAAGAATTCAGAGACAAATGCAGCTGCCCACCCACCTGCCCGCCCGGAGAACAGCGGATTAGTTCTGGGAGGGGGTGAGGGTAAGGCTAGAAGCCAGCCTCCCATGCGCCTGTTCCATTTCTTTCCTTCTCCACTTTCTTTTAAGCAGCTGCCAGCCCCACAGCACCATCAGATTGGAAACCTACGCCCTAGTGTTCACCCCCACCTGGCCTCCCCATGCTCTGCTCCCACGGGAGCTAAAGTGACGCTCTGAAATGTGATTGGTAAAAACACAGCCATGTTTGCTTTCCTGTGCCCAGTAGGAGACATTGGCACAATTGAGAATGCTGCATGCTGGCAGCAAATGCTGCCTCAGGGCCGCATGAGGGATGGAATCTCCCTGTGAGGCCCCAGCCTCTTCTGGGCCTCAGTTTCCCCTCTGCACTGTGAGCCTGTTGAACCAGATCAGTGGTTTTCACCTGAGAAGATTAAAAAATACATACTGGCCGGGCGTGGTGGCTCAAGCCTGTAATCCCAGCACTTTGGGAGGCCGAGATGGGCGGATCACAAGGTCAGGAGATCGAGACCATCCTGGCTAACACGGTGAAACCCCGTCTCTACTAAAAATACAAAAAATTAGCCGGGCGAGGTGGCGGGCACCTGTAGTCCCAGCTACTCGGGAGGCTGAGGCAAGAGAATGGCGTAAACCCGGGAGGCGGAGCTTGCAGTGAGCTGACATTCGGCCACTGCACTCCAGCCCGGGTGACAGAGCAAGACTCCGTCTCAACAAAAAAAAAAAAAAAAAAAAAATACCAACGCCCAGGCCTGACCCTAGAGATTCTGATTCTGTTGTTCTGGGCCGGCCCAAGCATCACCATTTTGTAAAAGTTCCCCAGGAGTCTCTGATGTGCAGCTGGAGCAGAGACCCCCTGGGGTAGACGTCTCTTAAAGAGCATCATATGCAACCCCCTTACCTGTTTTCCAGAAACAGGGCTAGAGAGGGGAAGAGGCTTTCACAGAGACACACAGCAAGTCAGAAATATGGTCGATCGCTGCAACCAAAGCCAGGTTCCAGCCCCTCCCAACACCCGCAGCCCTAGCTCTTTGCACAATACGACATGCCTTAATTTTTGCCTCTTCTCTGGCCCCCAAGTGCACAAAGAAAGAGGTTACAGGTCTTATCTGAACATTTCAGGGAGGATTTTCCAAATCTGTTTACCAGAAAGTTCTCTCTAAATCTCAGTCATCTGGGACAAAGCCTGAACCTTTTGCCCACTCAGCTTTTTGGCCAGAGACTTGCCAGGAATCAGCGAGGATCCAGGCTTATCCATCTGCCTCAGCCTGTCCCAGGTGAGGCTTCTGATCATTTTCTCTGTTGTCTTTCTTTGTGCAGAATATCCCCATCCCCACCCTCAAGGCATATGCAGAAGCCCTGAAAGAAAACTCATATGTGAAGAAGTTCAGCATCGTGGGGACGCGGAGTAATGACCCCGTGGCGTATGTATGTACCTTTATGTTCTGTTGCATTGTGGATAGGGGGTCTTGAAACAGAAGGGTTGAAATATGTGGCCTCAGGACTGGTTGTATCCCACTAACAAAGAGCTCTATGTGGTACAGTGGAAGGCACTGGACCAGGAGCCATGAGGGGGTGTAGAGGGACTGGCCATCACCTAGCACCACCTACACGTCATCCTGGCCAATCCTCACAACCACCTCTGGTCTCAGATGTGCAGGTCTCCCCACTTTGCACTTAAAGAATCTAGGGTTGAGAGAGGTCAGGCGACTTGTTTTGTCCAATCACACAGCAAGTGAGAGGTGGACCTGCAATTCCAGTGCAGTCACGTGACCCCTACATCTGTCTCTGTCTTCACTCAGCACATTATATTAGAACAAGGGCCTGCCCTTCCCTGTTCCTCAGTTTCTCCATCTCTAAAATCAATGGTTTTGGCCGGGCGTGGGGGCTCACACCTGCAATTCCAGCACTTTGGGAAGTCGAGATGGGGGGGTCACTTGAGGTCAGAAGTTTGAGACCAGCTTGGCCAATATGATGAAACCCTGCCTCTACTAAAAGTATAAAAATTACCTGTGTGTGGTGGTGCACGCCTGTAATCCCAGCTACTCAGGAAGCTGAGGCAGGGGAAGCGCTTGAGCCCAGGAGGCGGAGGTTGTAGTGAGCCAAGATTGCACCACTGTACTCCAGCTTGGGCGACAGAGCAAGGCTCCATCGCAATAAATAAATAAATAAATAAATAAATAAATAAATAAATAAATATTTTAAAAAATAATAAAATAAAAACGATGGTTTCATCAGCAGGTCCCAATGATCAATTTTATTTTACCAAGTCTCAAAAGATATTTCTGATCAAACTAAATTGTACTTACTTTGAAGTAGCCATCAACTCTTGTTTTTAAACATCCAGCACATATGTATTAAGAGTCTCTCTGTGTCCAACACTGAATTAGGTTCTTGGAATGCAATTGTGACTGAACAGTCTCAGCGTCCACTTTTATAAAGATTCTGGTCCATTTGGCCAAGCAGACAACTAAAGGATAACAGTACAGTGTGATTACTGCAAAGCTAGATTCCTGCAAGAAGGGCAGAAACTAGTTTATCAGGGCTAGTAATTAACCATTCTGTAGCAATCAATTTTTTTCTGATTCTTAAAATAGGTAGGACAGCGTTCTTTCATATTTTTGAAGCAATAGAAATAGCTCACAGTCTCTCATTGCTGTCAGTGGGGAACCTCTGGATTGATGACCTCTGACCTTAGATCTCCATGGTTCCTTGCCCATAGGAACACAGCTGGCAAAGCCACATGCCCTGTATGCTACTATGTCATGGGTCAGAAACCAAGCACGTCCACACTGGCCCTCAGCTCAGGTCCACAAATGCTCTTTGGGCATGGACTCTGCCAGACCAACAGCTGATATCAGCCCGTGCATACCAGTATGCCCATGTTGAACACTCAGATGCTTCTGGGCCAATTGATAAATCAGGCTGCCAGAGCTCTGTCAGTGCCCCCACTGCCTGCCTTAGCTTTTCTCCTGGGCCCCAGTTCCTCCACTGGGACCCAGCATACAAGGAGTTAACACCTGGCAAGACAGGGCCTCCAGGACCTGCTCAGCCACCGGCATGTCCAGTTGGATCAGCCTGGCGGATTGCCTACTGGTTGTTATTTTTGGTTTTTTTGGTTTTTTGTTTTGTTTTGTTTTTTAATTAGATTTTATTAAGCCAGGCCAGGCCTTTCCTGGGAGCAGGAGGGTTCTGGTGGAGGATACAGAGAGGACTCTGGCTGGGTCCTTTCCCTCAGGAGGGTCAGCCAAGTCAGAGACACCATCATAGAGAAAGCTGACATGCCATCCCAGGGTCACACTGAAGTGAAGGGCACTGAGGAGGGGGTGATGATTTCAAAACAGAGGGCTTCTGGGAGCTAGCCTCTAGGCAGGTCTCAGCAAGGCAGGGGCGATGGGGTAGGCATTCCTGGCTCGGAGTGTCCTTTCAGGCAGCAGGGCCCACTGCTCAGTATGTCCTATCAGCTGCTGGTGTCTTTTTTCCTCCATGACACATCGTTTCCACCAACTGCTAATTACCTCATTTCCTTCAGAGGCTCTGATTGTCATCTACACCCCCTGGCTGAGTTCTTCTGAAACGTGCTAGGGGCCACCTAAGCTCCTCTTCTCCAGTTTGCCCTGGTCACTTGCCCAGTGGGTGGTTTCCCAGGCTTCCCTCTTCTGCTCTGTAGTGCTCAGATGAAGAAAACCGCATCTCCAAGGAATTTCCACAGGGCAATAAAGAGATAAGTGGGGAGTATGTACAGGAGGTTGAGACTCCACTGGTCACTCAATGAACAATGCCTGAGGGCCTACTATGTGCTGGGTACTGTGGGCAACATGGGATAGATAGGATGCCTTTTCAGCCCACCAGGAGTATATAGTCTAATGGCAGAGACAACGCCGGTATGAAATCAACTCCGAACAGAGGAATCCAAGGTCCGTAATGAGGGAAGTACGGCTCGATTCTATGAGGATTCGAGAGTGTAGGCTACATCTAGCTGGGGAACGTCAGCAAGAGCTCTTGGAGCAAGGGGCATTGAGAATGGCCTGGAAAGATGGGCAGAGCTTGGACAGGGAAGCAGAAGGGAAAGGGAATTCCAGGTGGGAGGGATAGAAAGGGCAGAGACAAACTGGGAAAGCACTGAGCAGGCATGGGGAGCTGCGAGTAACCCCACTGAAGAGGAGCAGTGACAGTTGACTCTGGACAGGGTAGTAGACCCAGGTCATAGAAGCTTTGGATGTGGGTTAAGCAGCATAGAATTCTCCTGTGGGGGATCGGGAGCCATGGTGAGTTGCAGGAGAGGAGAGACACAGTCAGAGTTGTGCTTGGTGAGGGGCGTGGTGGGGATCATCCTCCTGTTCCCCTAGGTGTCTTAGGACCTACCCAGAGGGGCCCCCAGCCTTGCTCAGGGTGACTCATGGGTATCCTTGCTTTCTCTTGTGCTTCAAGGCCCTTGCTGAGATGCTCAAGGAGAACAAGGTGTTGAAGACACTGAACGTGGAATCCAACTTCATTTCTGGAGCTGGGATCCTGCGCCTGGTGGAAGCCCTCCCATACAACACTTCTCTGGTGGAACTGAAAATTGACAACCAGGTGAGATGGGCAAGGGTCTCCTCAGGTCTGTAACTACATACAGCTCGCTGGCCTGCAGTTTTCCCATGCTGCTGAATGGAGCTGAGACTGCTGATGATAGAAGCTCAGAGCCCAGCTTTGAGGCACCTCCAAGGTCCCCAAAGTTCAAACCCTCTATCATGCTCACCTTCCTTCTTCATCGCTCCCACTGTGTGCTCTTCCAGTTCTGCTTGAGTCCCTCTCATGATGGGGGACACACTCCTTACCAACATCACCACTTCCATTCTTAGGCAATGAGCACATTCTTCCTTATATCCGGTAGAAGTCAGCTCCCTGTAAGTCCTGTTTGTTGGGCTTAGTTCTGTTTTCTGCTTCACCCAGGACATCTGTTGCACAGATCTCATGAACCACTAAGCTCTCCTTCTCCAGGTTAAAATTCCCAGTTTTCTTCATTCACCCCCGTTCAATGGGGCTTTTGAGTTTCCTTACCATTCAGATTACTCTCTAAGCAAATTCCAGTTTGTCTTTATTCTTATAGAGTTACCGTTTCTCTGTAACTTCTGTGGGTCAGTCATTTATCTGCAGAGCCACTCTTTCAGCTCTGACTTTCTAAGAGGATGCTAATAACAATATCTTATATGTTACATGTGTTGAGGGTCTCCTGTGGGACAGGCTCTGAGCTACACATCTGACATCCGTCATATCTGATCTTCACAACAGCGCTACAGAATGTGGGTATCATCAGTCTCAGTTTTCAGAAAACAGTCCAGACAGGCCAACGATAAGCCCCTTTTTCAGAGTCATAGGGTCAGCATTTAGGAAGCAGGATTTGAATCCAGGTCTCCTTGACTCTAAAACTCGCACTTCTTCCAGTGTAGCATGTTGCTTTTGATGTTAAAATGCTTTCTTTTTTATGAATGGGGACTCAGTTGTTTTTTTCCACTACATGAAAATTTTTGCTGAATGGTTGTATAAATGTATGCATAAGAAAAAGATTGGAATGAAATATTACAAAATTCTAAACAGTGGTTATACCTGAGTCAGACTATCACAAGTTTTTAACTTTTTTATTGTAAAATATGGCAAACATACAGAAAACTGCATAAAACTTAAATACATAACTTAAGGAATCATAACAGGCATGTAACCCCTGTTCAGGTCAAGAAACGAAACATTACCAACCTCCAGAAGACTTTGACTGTCCCTTCCTCAACCATAACCCTTTCAAAACCATTCACAACTTGCTCCCCACTCACTTTCATGCCTCCATTCCTTTTCCTCCTCGTGGAATGTCCTCCCCTGCCTCTACCCTCTTCTCTGCCTTCTGGGTTTAGTTGAGGCTTCTCTTTATCTTAGTGGTGTTCTAGAGACAGCTTGAACCAGCTTGCAAGAGCTGATTGTGGATATCTCTTCCTGAGACCAACAATGGCACATCAGTGCCTTGAATTGCTCATGGTAGGTGGGAGTATTTACACTATGGAAATTGGCAAATAGGCATATCATGCATCAGGGCTTTTTTTTTTCTTTGAGATCCAGGTTATTACTGTCTTCTCCCACTAGTCTGCCATAGCTCCTCCAAACCTCTGCCCAAAGAGAGTTAGATACCTCTTCCTCTGGGCTCCCCTAGCACCTTGGCTTCCCTTGAGCTTCCCAGAAGCTGGTGCTATGTCTGAGGCATCTCCTTATCTCAGTGCCCAGCTCAGGACCTCGCCCTTCAAGGGTGCCTGGTAAGGAAGTTTGCCCTGGATGGTCGTGCATATTGTTCACAGCACAATGAGGCAGCAGAGAGCAAAATTCAACCCGGAATCCACTCTCCGAGCTGTGTGCCTCAGTATGGAGCTTTGTTCACTCAGAGAGGGCACTTTTTTCTAGTTTATATAAAGCAGTCACATGAGCTGGCAGCAGCCGTGTCACGTGCATTTGTTGCATCGGACTCCTTGCATCTCTTGCGTGCCGGTGGTCTTGCTGCTGCCTCACTCATTCTCAGGCCATCCCCACCCCTACCCCTTCTGCGCCCTCCCTTAGCTATTGCTGACTCTGCACCATTGGAGGCAAGAGGGGCAGAGCAGATGGAACAAAGGCATGCAGCAGGCTTGGCAGCAGCTCTGGGCCAGGCCCTGGGATTGGCTACTCATGTGAATCCCAGCCTGGCCTGGCAGGAGGTCAGGGTCTACCCATAGTCAGCTGAAACTTAACTCCCAGGGCAGAACGTCAGCCAAAGAAGACTAGGAGCACTGGCTTCAGGTCACTGTGGCGGCAGCTGCCAGGGAGTTGCCCCTTCCCTCCACACGCTACCCCCCCAGAGTCCAAGATGGAGCCCATGCTAACCATTGCTCTTACCTTAGCGGAACACCCTGGTTCAAAAACATTCACTTCCCTGAGCCTCAGTTTCCTTGCTTGTAAAACGGGGAATATAAGAATCTCTGCTTCTAAGGAGATAACAGATGTAAACTGAAGTTGTTAACTTCTAGAATTACTGGGAAGGTGATCTAGGGGATTCACACGCTATTCTAAGAGTTAATTTCCTGAGCAGGTTATCATGAGCCAAAACCATACTGGGTACTTTGTGTCTATTATCTAATTTAATGTTCACAAAGACTCTGTAAGTGGCATTACAACCCATCCCCATATCACAGATGAGGAAACTGAGTGCCAGGCAGGCTATGCAACCTGCCCAAGGCCACACAAGAAGCGAGAGGGGCAAGATTCAAACCCAGGTCTGTGTGACCCCAGAGTCCATGTATAAAGCTACGGCTGTCTGGGTTCTTGAAGCAGCTGTAGTTTCATGTGATGTCAGCCTGGCTTTTCTCATCTGTCCTCTGGCCTGGGGCCTGAGCACTGGTCAGCACCACCCCCATCCAATGAGCCTCTTTTCTGGTTCATCTCGACATGCTGATGAACGCTGGCTGCTTGCCAGGACTGTGCTGGGCTGTGTGTGGGACTGAGGCTCCAGGTCTGCCCTCCAGAAACTTCCTCACCAGATGAGAGGAAAGATGTTTGCAGAAATGACCATCATACCAGGTGCTCCAGCAGCCAGACAGTGGGCTGTGAGGTCCATCAGAGGGAGCAGTCTCAGTCAGGAATAGGGATCAGGGAGGGGTGCTTGGAGGAGGCAGATTCTGAGATTAACCCGTAGATGCTGGGTAGACCCTGACTTCCCACCCACAGGGTGAAAAGTATCTCAGGTGACATGGAGGCCATGGCATCCCAGGTGCAGAGAGGAGTGGGAAAAGCCATGGAGCCCATCCACACAGGCTCACAGTACCCCCAGAGGAAAGCCAGAAAGGGGATTAGGAGTCAGAGAGCTTTGAATGGGTAGGTTTAGGGAGAGTGGGCTCTGGCTGTGCTCTGGGAAGATGGTTCCAGCTGGGTGGGAGGGGACTGGGGGCAAGGAGAGGGTATCAGGGCCCAGGAGATCAGCCAGGGGCTATGGCCCCCAGGACCAGGGGGCTGTGGGGAGGTGCTCCTGCCTAACTGGAGTTGGGTCCAGCAGGGGAGGGGCTGAAGGCAGGTCTCAGGGAGGGGGCTCTGCTGACTCAGGCTCAGGAGGAGGTCACCTGTGCCTCCCCTTCAGGTGTCCCAGCCCCACTGGGGGGAGGCAGGGCAGTGTGACACAGAGGAGGTGGTGAGTAGCATCTGATTTATTGCTTTATTCTTCATTCCTGGTTAGTCACTGAGGTCCTTGGAGATGGGAGCTTTTTCCTCAGTCCTGTGCTTATAACCTGTGGCAGCAAGTCTCTGTCCTTCTTTCTCCTTATACGGCCAGGGAAAGGGACTTGGGGAGTTCTGCCCAGGGTGACACGGTGCTGGCTCAGGATGCAGTTTGGGAACCAGGACTTTGAAGCTGTTTGTTGACTCAGTCTATCTCCAGCAATGTTCTGTTGCCGCCTGCAATTGCGCCAAGGCCACGATGAATTGGAAAAGGGCAGAGCAGGCCCCAGAGCCAGAAGGCACTGAGACAACGTCTAGCCCAGTCCTCCTTTCACAGGCAGGGAGACTGAGGATGAGAGAAGGGATGGGAATAGCCCAAGGCCACGGGCCAGGTTAGTGGCAGAGCTGGGTTGGAGCTGCAGTATCCTGGCTGCACTGATGGATGGATGGGAGAGACCCTGTGGGCCCTGAGGGAGCCTGTAGGCCCGGCCCAGGCCAAGCAGGCCATCTTCACACATGGCTTCTCTGCTGCTGTCACCAAACTCTCCAAAATCCCCACAGAGCTGCTCTTCCCCAGGACCCCCAGGGCACAGGGGGGCCCTGCTCCCCAGGCCAGACAAGGCCTGGGGTGAGCCCCACAAATGAGAATATGTATAATGTCTGGGGTAGTGGCCACTTCCCCACTTTTTATTTCAGTATTTGACAATGAGGATGTGCTTAATATTTTGAAGAGAAGTTAAAGTAGATGGATTGTGCTGTCTTGTTTTCCCAGATTGGATGATTTGGGTCTGGCTTTTGTACTCAATGTTGTGAGTGTATCAGTTATCTGTAGCTGTGTAACAAACTATCCCCAAATACAGCAACTTAAACAGCCTCAGAGTCCTGGCATAAAACAACAATAAACATGTATTAACTCACCATTTCTGAGGGCCAGGAATCCAGGAGCAGTGTGGCCAGCTGACTTCACCCAGAGCGCATGATCCGAGCTGGAAGAACTGCTTCCACCATGGCTCCCTCATGGCATGGGCAGGAGACCTCAGCACCTCGCTGTGTGCACCGGCCTAGGGCTGTTGGAATGTCCTCACAGTATGGCAGCTAACTTCTCCCAGAGTGAGTGAGCCAAGGCAGAGAAAGAAGAGAGCCTCAAATGCCTTTTATGACCCAGCCTCAGAAGTTACACAAAGTCATTTCCACTATATGCTATTTATTAAAAGTGAGTCACAAAGTACAACCCACACTCAAGGGGAGGGAAATCAGGCACCACCTTTTGGAGGGAGGAGGATCAGAGAATTTTGCAGATATTAAGTCATCATAGTAAGAATTATCTGTATTATTTTGTGTCACAGCAGTTGTCCAGAAAGACCTCTGTA